GTCCCAGCGTCCTCTGACAGCTTGCAGAGAAAACCTAAGCCGCAGAGACGCACAGTGCCAGTGCCTACCATGCACTATGAAGGGGCAAACTCTGGTCTGGCAGGGTCCTGCCTCTGATTGGATGACCAACGGAACACCGCTGGCTCTCTCGCCTCCGCCTGGGTGGCATCAGCGGTGCGGACAGCTTTGTCCTGTTTCCGGGCATGTGACTGAGCAGTAGCTGGCGTCAAGCCCTGGTTCAGGTGCCAGGTGGACGCCAGGCTGTGTGTAGAGGATGCCAGTCGCTTGCCTTCCTGGCTTGCGTTTGGACAGTGGTCCCAGTGTTTTAGAGGGAGGGTGAGGCGGTGCGACTGAGCAGCTCACTGCTCAGTGCCAGCCACCTGTTTCGGGGGGCACAGGGACCCTGTGGGGCAGGCTAGAACTGCCCTTGTAGGTTTCAGAGACTGCACATCTTTCAGGAAGCCGCGACCCTCGTCTTTCTCACATTCGAACTGCTGATCTGGGATCCGTGGTTTTCAGCTGGAGGGAAACACAGCTGGGACTGGGCCTGAGCAGAGACCTTCCTAGAATGATGAGCCCCTATCTCCCTCAGGCAACAAGTTCCCCTTGGGGCCGATGGGGCTTTCATCTGAAGTCATGAAATCGCTGCTGATATGTGAAAGGCAGTGGCATCGATAAATAGATAGAACTAAAGAAAACTTGTATGGTCACTTGTATGTTTCCAAATGCCCAGACTCTATTCAGGGAGTCCGACTATGCCTAGGGCATGCGCAGTTCTGAAAGGCAAAATCAACAATGTCAATCTACTGAATAGTCATCTTAACTAACATCCCCAGATCCTGGGACGTGCTCAGAAGCAGGTGACACGACGCGATGCAAGCACAAGCAGGGGCTTACTTAGGCTCACTTATTGATCTATCGTGAGCGATTTCATTCCCCCCACCCCACCCCAACCACCACCACATCAAAGATTCTGCTCTCAGTAGACTGGTTCTGTCCTACTCCAAAACCCATAGCACTTTCCCAGAATAAAAAGATCGGCTCCAAGATCACCGAAGATAAAGGCACTCTAGAAAAGTGTGGTGAAGAAAGCAGATGGTGCTCAGCGATCAGAAAGAATAGTGTCTGGGGTCTTCAAGCAAGCATCCATCTAACTGGGGCATCCACAAAGCCCACATCGAAGAAGCACACCAGCCTAAGTGACCCAAGGATTGTAAATAACATGATCCAAATCTAAAGGAGGGAAGAGCATCAGAGCTTAAATTGTAAACACCTGGTTTGCAAAAGGCTATGGATGACAGTGGAAGCCCAAAACCCATTGGCTGGGTCCCCACATGGATTAAGCCTCCCGTGAGCCCCTTCCAATCATAGTTGAGATGTAAATTGACCTGTTTCAGGCATAGAGGATTGTAGTCGATTATGCAGATGTTGTGAGGTCAAAGTGTAATATCTAATCATTTGATCTCCTTTTGACCCATTAGAATGCTGTTTCAGTTTGTTTGTTTGGTTTGTTTGCTTTTTAATCATTTTATCTGGGGCTCGCACAGCTCTTATCACAATCCATCCATCCATCCATTGTGTCAAGCACATTTATACATTTGTTGCCATCATCATGCTCAAAACAGTTGCTTTCTACTTGAGCCCTTGATATCAGCTCCTCATTTTGTCCCCTCCCTCCGTTCCTCCCCCCTCCCTCATGAACCCTTGATAATTTATAAATTATTATAATTTTGTCATATCTTACACTGTTCAACGTCTTCCTTCACCCACTTTTCTGTTGTCCATCCCCCAGGGAGGAGGTTATAT